TTGAATCGACAATTATGGAAGTCCGTGTTGCAAGTGGTGAGAATATTGCGTTGATGTTCGATATTCTGGGTATTGGTAGAAAGTATTCGTCATCGAGGGAGTATGAGGATTTGGTATTTATTTGTTATTTGAATTATTATTATTATTGATCATGTATTAAATGAGTAAATTGAGTAATAATATTATTATCATCATTGAATCTTATGTAGGATAATGTCGATTTTCATCAGATTGACCAGTTGGTCACGCTGCTTAATACACTGGCTACCGATAGTAATAGACGCCGCAATAAAGCTGAACGTAAAGTGCAAAGATCAGCATTCAGAGATATCCTCAAAACAGTTGAGGTATGTGCATTTTTTGATTTTATTAATTTATCCTCAAAATATCCGATCTACTCTCAAACATGTCCTATATTAACTAGGAAGGTGTTGGTATTGAAGAAAAATTGAAGATCCAGAAACAAACGCTATTCTTTGACACGTGGCCAAAAGTAATTCAACTTAATGCCTTCAGATATGCATTAGCTGAAGGATTTTACCGTCACATCGAGCAAAACACCTTGCTTCAATCAATTTTTGAGTATGTACCGTCCGCCTCCGTCAAAGGCAGTCGCCCAGGTTCGGCGATGAGTTTCCACAGCTCAGACGTTGACATGTCGTTATTATCCTCTACATTGTCCAAACAAAAAGCGCTAAAAGAAAAAAGCAAATTTTTGAAAAATAGAAAACTTAATAAGCGCGGTGACTTTTTTGAAGTAGGTTAAATTTTTTTACATTATCAATATTTAATATATATTGGTAATGGTGACAGTGACGGTTAGGTAGATGGATGTTGACCACCAATATTCATATTTTTTTTTGTTGTACAACTTCTCGAAATATTTATGTTTATTGTTGTATAATGAGATAATGACAATCACTGTCTGATTTTATTTTGAGTAACAAAATAAATAAAATCATTATTTTTGTTTAGGTTAACATTTGTGTTTAATTAATGAATTATTAAATCAACAAACATCATTAATGTGATTCCGCTTTTACAAATCATGTAACACTTGTTCTAATTTATTGACAGCAGACTGAACATGAGACGCAATTCCAGAAGGCGGTTGTTTTTCCAGAGTCTTCATCTCTACTATCTGTCGTTGCTTCAGTTCCTCTTTTAGGCGCGCTAGTAATCGGTGAGGATCCACATTGGGAATGTATGGGAGATCACGTGTGAGGTCTGGAGGATTGACGAGACGTTCTTGAGCTATTGCTGTTGCGTATTTGAAGAGTGCGGATTCTATATTGACCATCAACGAAAAGAATCGTAAGACCTAGCTATTACGTGATTTTGTGTGCTAATGTATAACTCGTACCTGCTGACGCAGCAACAGATTTATGATGTGGGGGATCACCCTCCTTGCTCTTTTGACGCACCAAATCCTGAGAAAAAGACTTTAACTCTGCGAGATTAAGATTCTCTTGTTCCTTATTGATTCTTTCACTTGGGATCTGCACTTCATCAGTATTTAGAATCTCGTCAAGTGGCTTAGATTCTTCGGTCGTTGCTTTATAAATAGAAAGTAGCTTAACGAATCAGATTTACAGAATTAACAGAACAGTAATTTGTATGCTAATTATTTGTACCCGCTACCCCTGGAATACCAGATCGAAGATTTTGCTGCCCCTTGTTTGGCAATGGAACACATTCATCCATAGGTCTTGCATCAAATATGCGTTTAATTGGAGAAGAAGCCATTTTTACACTCTGCAACACTCTGCAATAAACTTCCGTGTATTACCAAAATTTATAAATTTTTATACTGTTTCGTCATTTTACCAACAATACGTCACTACGTAATAATGACGAGCTAATCTAACTATTTTGAAATAAAATAAAATTTGAGTAGTTTCTCGGTATAAGCTTATGTGAAGATTTTTTTCCTTACCCGGTGTCTTCAATATAACAAGATCGTGAGAATCATATACATGTATCAACTCAGGCGTTCAGACCTTCAGACCGAGCGATTTTAATAATATTTTCTATATGTAATTTTCCTTGTAGGAATTCCTCGAAAGTAATCATGATCGACAGGGTCTAATCTTCCACATTGAATGCAGTAATTGTTATTGTTAATTCTGAATTTTAGCATCGTGTTTGTTAAGTAAAGGAACATTTACATTGAGGAACAAAAAAATGACCACTATTATTTTAGATAGAAGGGAACTATCCACTCAATATTGGACGTGTCATCCTTGTGCAGGGGCTATGCTAATCTTCTCTGTATCGTTCCAATTTTAATAAGTGTCACTCCGAAAAGGAAGCGAGAACAGCAAAGATATCCAATACTGCGCCAAAAAAGCCAAATTTCTATTGCAGATCTTAAACATATTAATTAAACTAACCAATTAGAAGTAATTAGAAAAATATTTTTAACTTTCTTAAAAAACAAAAAATAAAAAATCCTCTTACAGAATAATAGCTTTATTAAAAAACTAAAATCTATATAAAGATTTATTGTATAAATATTTATTTTTATATAATAAATAGCAAAATTTTTAATTATATATAAAATTTAAAATATTATAATTTTAAAATTATAATTAGCAAAAAATTTATTTTAATAAAATTATAGCTTAAATAAAAAGCAACAAATTTATAAGAGAATTTTTTAAAATTAATTTTTTAAGTTATAGTATTTTTTTATATTATATATATAAATATTAGATATTTTATATTATTTTTTATTATATTTATAATAATATATAGATTTTTAGATATAAAATTATAAAATAAAATAAATTTATATCAATTAATTTTTTATTTCAAAATTAATATTAATTTTAATTAATATAAGTATAGTACTCTGCAAAAGTATCCAATCTCTTTTAACTTTTTGTAAATTACTATATATATAACACATCAAATTTTTTTAAGTATAAAGAATATTATAAATACTAATTATAATATCTTTTATAAACTAATAAAGCTTTTATATTAGATATTATATATTTATAAATTTTTATATTTTAAATATAATTAGTTATTTTATAATATATATCTTAATATTTAATAATTTAATTTTTGATATTTAGTAATCTAATTTAAATAAAAATATAATTATTTAATTTATTTAGTTAAGATAAATTAAATAATATTATTTTTATTTAAATTAAGTTACTAAATATTAAAAATATTATATCTTAAAGTAGCAAATTCATTTTTTATACTAATCAAAATAAATTAATTAATTTAAGATATAATATTTTGATTTTTAGTAATCTAATTTAAATAAAAATAATATTGTTTGATTTATCTTGACTAGATAAACAAATAATATTATTTTTATTTGAATTAGACTACTAAAGATTAAGATACTATATTTTAAATTAATTAATTTATTTTTTTGACAATTAATTTTTAATAAAAAAATATAAATCATTTACTTTATTTTAATATTTAATAGTTTAATTTAAGTAAAATTACTACTATTTAATTTATCTAAATTAAATAAATTATATGATATTATTTTTTATTTAAATTAAATTATTATATATTAAGATATTATATCTTAATATAATTAATTTATTATATTTAAATATAAAAATTTATGAATATATAATATTAATATAAAAGTTTTATTAATTTATAAAAAATATTATAATTAATATTCTTTATATTCAGAAAAATTTGATATATTATATATGATTTATAAAAAGTTAAAAAAGATTAAATACTTTCATGATTAATTAAATTATAAGCTAAAACTCTTATTATATATTAAAATATTTAAAATTATAATAAATAAAAATAATTTATAAAATTATATAAATATTATTTGAAATTTAATTATTAAGTTTAAATTTTATAAATTTGAATTATATTTTTATTTATTAAATATTAAGTAATTATTTATTAATTTTTAGAAATTTTAAGTAAATTTTTATAAAATTATTATTATTTTTTATTTTATATAAAAATTATATATATATAATATAGAAATATTATTTATAATTAAATTACTAATAAATTTTTATTTAAATTGTTCAAGAATTAATTCTAATTTTTTTATAATTAACTACAGTTCCAGTTAAAAGTAATAGTGGTGAACATTTTTGTCTATATTTTAATAATAAAACGTCCAAAACTCATAAAACTTTATAGATATATTCTTTAGAATATTGTGAACAAGATTCTCTAATAGTACAATACATATTAGCTTAATAAAATTTTGTGAAATATTGTGTCAAATATGGCAAATTAGGTATTTACATGAAATAACTTTGAAAAAAATTATTTGAAAATATTTTTAATAAGTAATTTTGAAAATATTTTTGTAAAAATATATTTTAAGATATAAAGA